GGGGGGCGCTGCCAGAAGCTGATGGAAGCCTTTGTCCGAGACTCCATGTCATTAAGGCAGAGAACATGTCTTTATGGGCTCTGCCAATGGAGACCCCAGTCTGGGTGTCCCTGGAGCATTGGGGGTGGCTGAGGCTGATCAGTGGGGACAATCGGTGACAGAAATGAAGGTTTTTTTTGGCAGGGAGACAGCAGCTGTAGGGGCTGCAGCAGATGGGGGGGTGTGGTGGGGAAGGCAGGGGTGTGCACAGCCCCACAGTTTCTGTCCTCTGCAGGTTGCTGACCAGCTGTGTGCCAAGTACAGCAAGGAGTATGGGAAGCTGTGCCGGACAAACCAGATCGGGACGGTCAATGACAGGGTAATGACCTGGTGGAGCAGCTGGAGCTGGCAGCATGGCCGTGCCTGCTGTGGCTTTCTGGCCCTTTCCTGTGGCCAGTGGCTGATGCTGGTGGCTCACTGCAGGGTAGGGTGGGCCAGCTGTGCTGGGGGCCAGCCTGCAGGGGCACACAGGGCCTTGCTGTGGATGGAGAGGGGCAGAGCATAGGGAGCCCTGGCCTGTGGCTGCTGGCACCCACCCCTGCAGTGCTGTGCTGGGAGGAAAGGCCTCTCCTGTGCTGCGTTCCTCACAGAGCCCTCTGACTGGGGCAGAGCTGCGCTGCGCTGCCCCGGTCCCGCTGAGCGTCTGCACCCCTGTGTTCCAGCTGATGCACAAGCTGAGTGTGGAGGCACCGCCCAAGATCCTAGTGGAGAGATACCTCATTGAGATCGCCAAGAACTACAATGTGCCCTACGAGCCTGACTCGGTGGTGATGGTGAGTGAGGCACCTGCAAGTCTGGAGCTCCCTTCTGTGTTCCAGGGGCTGAAATGTCCCACCACTGCCGCGTGGGCTTTTGGAGCGCGGGACTGTGGCATTGCAGTGAACTCGGTGGTAATTGTGCTTTGGTGTATTCCAGACAGCCCTAGCACAGCCTGGCCCTTGCTCCTCCCCACAGCCCTGCAGCATGTGGCTGTAGTTAGTCACACTGTAGTCTGCTTCCCTTTCTGGTACCCATTAATATCGCTGTGTAGCTGCTGTCTGTTCTGTCCTTGTGTTGTCCCGTCTTGTCCAGTGACAAATGCTGTGTCTAACGCTGTGCAGCAGGCTGTGGTCAGAACAGAAACATGTTGGTGAGCACAGTTCTTCCACCCTCTCCAGGCTGAAGCCCCTGCAGGTGGTGAGGGAGATCTGATTGATGTGGGATTCACAGACGATGTGAAGAAGGGTGGCCCTGGAGGAGGTGGCGGTGGATTTACAGCCCCGCTGGCTGGCCATGATGTCCTAGTGCCCATGCCAGTGATGATGCCTATGCCCATGCCCACACCGAATCCGCCCTTCTCCTACCCACCTCCAAAAGGACCGGTAAGTGCCTTTGCTGTGAACATTCCCTTTCTCTGGAGAAGGTTCCAACTGAGGTGCGTGGCCCTGTGCCCGCTGATCAGGAAGTGCATACCTGGTGGCGTGATGTGTCACAAGGCCGTGGTGCTGCTGTGAGACTGCATGGGGTGGAAGCTGTTGGCAGTGCAGCTGAAGCTTCCTGTCGCTCCCTGACTGCAGAGGTTCCTGCCCCAGTTCTGCAGCCAACCCTCTCTGCCCTCAGGGAACAGAGGAGGCCAGACTTAACTACTGTGGCAGTCTTGTGACTGCCGGGCTTTAGGCCAGGGGTTGGAGCTGAACTTTGAAGTTGGTAGGCCAGTAGTGTGCCCACATTCAGTCAAGGAAATCAGGTGAGTTTTGCGGGGTGGGAACAGCACAGAAAAATGCGGAAGTGCCCTGCCTTCGGACCTGCAAGGGGAGGGAACCAGGCCAAGTGCTCTTGGAGGTGACTTCATGTGAGGGGGAGCTGAAAAAGAGCCCCGTTCTCTGAATTCAGTCATATATGGGATATCATGTAGACTGGAGAGTGGCAGAAGAGTGGGCTGGCTTGGAGCCTTAATACGGTCCCAGCAATGCTGCAGTGTTTTCTGTGGAAAATCTGGGCCAGGTATCATCAGCTGGCTGAAGGCCCAGGTGTGAATACGCTGAGGACTTGTGCCAAGGCCAGGCCATTGAGGCGCTGTTGTGTTAGGAGTAAGGGCAGTAGAAAGCCTCAAGTGAGCAAGAGACGACCTTCCTGTTGTGTGATACTGCAGCCTGGAGAAGTGGCTCAGGTGTGCTTGGGCAGGGCATTGCCCTTTCTGTCCCACTGCTTCTGACACCTTGAAAGACAAATTGTTCAGTCACACTGGTTCTGTAGAACAACCAGCGGTCCTGACAGCTGGGTCTGGTTGCTCCAGGTGACCACATCTGACTTAGCAGTTGAGAATCTTTTCCTAGTAAGTATAAACTGCATCAGGTTGGAGCTTTTTCTGCATTTGTCTTAGAGTGCTGCTTTCTCTGACTGCCACAGCAGCTGTGGGTAGTCTGGTGCATGACTGTGGTCTCTCTGTACAGGACAACTTCAATGGCCTGCCCGTGGGGACCTACCAGCCTTTTGCTAACATCCACCCACCACCGATTCCAACAAGCCCACCGACGTACGAGTCTGTAAGTGCCTGACCGGAATCACCACTGTAGGTAGCAGTGGGAACGTCAAAGAGTGTGGTGGTAGCCACGGAAAAGGCAAATGTTCATTAAGTGCCTCGCTGTCAACCTTTGGAGCTTTTGGGGTGGTGCTTGGCATTGCTCCTGGGTGTGGTGAGTCACCATGTGCATGAGGAGAGGTTCCTCCTTCAGCTGTGTGCTTCGGCTGCAAAGGAAAGCCAAGGCCTGTATCACTGCAGTGATAAAACAGTGATAAACAGCTCACAAGTAGAGTCCACAAATTCTGTTGGGTTTTTTTTTTCAATGTGAAGGATTTATCACCTTCAGTCTGTTTAATTATGGCTTTTGAGGTAATTCATGGTTAGGCTGGATGAAAATTTTGGCTGATCCAGATGATAGATGCTTAAAACGCTCTTTCTGTCCCAGAGTTTTCTCAGTCCTTGGGGACAGCAAAGGAGAGGCTGGAGTCTTCTCTTCCTGTGCCTGTGTGTTTTTGTTCTGCAGTTCGTGATAGTGCCTCTCATTCTGTTTTCAGCAACGTGCTGTGTGTTTTTGCAGTGTCCTGAGTAGGGACAGGTGTAGCCAGGCACCCGCATGTGCTGACACCTCACGTGGAGTGCAGCAGTCTTTGCGTCCAGGAGATGCAGGCACAGACACGGCGGGTGTAGCTGGGTGGAGAGTGGTGGTGCAGACACCGCAGGGAGGGAGGAGTTACAGCAGCACAGACCATGCTGTGGGCCGTTGTCCCAGCTGGACCAAGACCCGAGATGGGCTCATTCCATACCTGGGTGCCGGTCACAAGGACCTACCTGTGGTTTATGAGTGGAAGAAAGCGATAGCAGTGATTCCATGGGGGCCTTCTCCTGGTTATGTCCTTGATAAGTATTTCAAACCTGCTTGTGGATGTGCTCTGCTTACCCAGATCCAGAACGTGGGCAGAGAGGGAGGAAGGTCAAAGCTCTGCTGCCTTTTGCTGGGGAGAGGCCGATTATAGCACGCGTGCTGGGGGGCAGGGCTGGGTCACCCTGCGGAGGGTGGGGTGTGCAGGCTCAGTGTGGCTGTGCCCACTGTTGTCCGTGGGTGGTGCCTGCACGACTGTGGTTCTGCAGCTGGGAGCAGAGCCAGCGGTGGTAACCGAGGGTCTTTTCCAGATTGATGAGCCCAACGCTGACAAGGACGCTTCTGCACCGGCGGCTGGTGAGTGCATCAGGAGGGATGGGAACCCAGGGCTGCTGGGGCTGTGGCTGGCTTGGGATCCCCATGTTCCTGAGAGGGAGCTTTCCATGTGGGGAACAGTGTCTGGAACTTGGGGAAGGATTTGAGTTTGGAGAGGACTCTGGTAGAAATGGAGAGCATCCTCTCAGAATGGAGAGGATCCAGACTTCCAGTGGGAAACTGGAGAGCTGGAGTTTGGCTTTGGAGTCAGTACTGGGTCTGCAGGTTAAGCTGTCTTGTTAGGCCGGGTATGGGACATTGCAGGGTAAAATGAGAAAGCAACAACTCTAAGTGGTATCTTTACACAGCATAAATAATACTGTTTTGCAGCAGCAGAATGAGAGAATCAAGCGAGAGGAGGGTAGATGGGTTTGGATCTCCATGGCGCATGCCGGCCAGAGAGGGGAGGGGAGCTCCTGCTGCCTGGTGCAGCTGTGGGACAAGGCCACCAGATCTGCCACGGCTGCAGCCCCTCACAGCCACATCAGCCCAAAGCTTTGTGGCTCTCCCCATTCAGCCTACGTGCAGGGGCGCTGCGGGACCACTGGTCCTGTTCAGAAAAATAGATGGGTGATGCCTTTTTGGGAGAGCGACCTCCCTTGTGTGTGTCTCTGTGTAGGCTGGTGATGGTGAGGTGCAATGGTGTGGTGTCTCTCTCACTCTTTACAGGGCCCGGGCCCAAGTCAGAAGCATCTCTTAAGCCGAAAGCTGGAGCTCCCAGTGCCGTGGATAACTTCGTGCTGCCTGAACTGCCATCCGTGCCGGATACGCTGCCAACGGCATCTGCTGGCGCCAACTCCTCTGCCTCTGAAGACATTGACTTTGATGACCTCTCTCGGAGATTTGAGGAGCTAAAGAAGAAAACATAAAACTGCCTGGGCTGTGACTCCGTTGTGAGGGGCAGGAGCTGCTTCTCTCTGAAACACTCCCCTGGCACTGGGTCTCCTGCATTAACCTCAGATGAACATGCTCTTCTCTGAGCTCTCTTCCTGCCGCACTAAATGAAACGCTGCTCTTTCCTAATCCTTGCCGCCCTGGGAGCTGAGCTGCGGACGTCTCCTGAGCCCGCAGCAGGGCGTGGTCCCCCTGGCCTGGGTGAAAGCAGAGCGTGACACTTTGGGGGCTGAGACAGGACGGGGCCTTCTCCTCCTTCTTAATGAGGCACCCACAGATGGCCCCTCTGCGCTGGGCAGGGTGATTAACTCTTTAACTAATTCGGGTGGAGGCAGGGAACACGGTGTCCCCCTCGGCTGTGCTGGCCCTGGGCAGGGGGCTGTATGTGACACTGTCACACGACTCTTCCTTGACGTTTGAGGTTGATTTTGTACCTTTCGGGTTGGTTCCTAATAAAGCCCCGACCAAGAACGGCGGTGTCCGGGGGTGCCCTGCGGGGGGCGGGGTCGCGGTTGGGGCTCTCGCTCCAGGACCAGGGAGACCCTCCCCGACCACGCCCAGGGGCGGTTCCCGGCTGACTGCGCCTCCATTGGCTGGG